CTGGACACCCGATGGTTTCTGCCAAATGCCAGTGGCAACGGAGTCGTCAGGGCCACTGGTGGAGTTTGGTAAGGAAAGGCGCTGGCCAACAGGAGAGGTGTGGCAGGCGGCCCCACGCCAGGCTCAGCCCCGACTTTTGTCTTCCTTAACTCCCGGAAAGAACTTGGGGACACCACTGCTGGGGTGCTAGGGCCGGAGTGCCAGGCGGAGGGCACGGGGTGGGGCTTGTCTCCCTGCAGCGGGGTGCCTGCCTATTGGAGCAGGGAGGGTTCCCAGTTCCCAGCCTGGGACACTGTTTTCGACAGCAAAGGCACAGCAAGGCCTGCACGTCCACTAGTGGGGGCTGGAGAGCCTGCCAGAGGCGGCGGGCGGGGCGGGAGGAAAGCACGAACAGCACTCATCAGCTCCACCGTGTGCTTCCAAAGAAGCTGGTGCTTGGACAGGCATAGAACATGCCAGAACCCTGCTTCCAGCAGGGATTGCTTCTGAGAAGGGAGACGAGGGATGCTATGGGAGAGGGATGGAGTTTTCGCTGTACGCTCTTTCGTGTTGCTTAAATTGTTCTGACCACGTGTGCGTGTTTTTCAATAAAAATAAGTAAGACCAGTTTAAAATCGTTTTAAAGGCCATGTCCCAGGCTTGACCTCTTTCTACGGAGATGCCAGTCTCCTCCCGGCCAGCTGGCTGCCCCTGGGGCCCCCCACATGGCCGCACGCCCGCACCACCCCCCTCTTCTCCCAGACACCTACCTTCAGGAAGTCGTCGAAGGTGATGCCCTCGTACACCTGATCAGGCTCCTGGTGACAGAGCACAGGGCAGGGTGAGTGGCTTCTGCCAGGAGAGGCCTCTCCCCTCCCCCCCGCCCCCACCACCCCAGAACACAGGTGGTTGGGCCTGTTTAGCCCACAGTCACAAGAGGGAATCACTCTGGATCACATCCAGCTCGAGGCCAGTCACCCGGGACTCCAGAGTCCCCTTCACTGGCTAGAGGGTGGGAGGAGAGGCGAGGACAGGGTCACCAGGCCCCACGCAGGCCTCCCAGAAAGGAAGGGGGTGGGCACAGAGGCACAGGGCTCTCCTTCCCCACATGGCCACCTCTCCGCCAGTTCACAGCGGCACAGCCACGAGCGGGCACTTCCTGTGGTTTCCTGGTCCTGCCTTATCACATTAGCCTTGATAAGAACCAGTGCTAGGCTAATCGGAGCTCACGGACCACTGGGGAAGGGGTCGAAGGGAAAGGGCTGGCCTGTGTGCCCAGTGAGTCACTGTGATAACGTCTGGCCACGGGGCCTCTCCCTTGCCCAGCGGCTGGCGGTGCCCGTCTGCACCTGTGTCTTTCCTGCTCTGGGCACAAAGGGACCTTGTGAGACAAGTCCTGTCAGGCTCTGGCACAACGAGGTCTCCAGAAACAGCCCCCCGCCCCTCGCAGTCCCCTTTGTGACAGTTAAAGCCCAGCTGACGTCAGTGCCCATCAATAGAACACCAGCTGAATAAACCTGTCGTCTATGGCATTGATCACCATGCAGCCGTTAAGGAGATGAGCTACACGAGGCTGAGACACGTACACAGTGGAAAAAACCAACACAAACAAGGAGCAGAAGGATGTCCGCGGACCCGTGCGTGCGGGAGGCATTTTTCCCGCGCCGCTACCCAGACGCCCCCATCTGCCATGTGCATGTGTGGGGTCAGCGTGGAGAGGAGGAAAAGCCCGGGCAGTTCAGCTCCATCGTGTGGAAATCAAAAATGAAAGCCTTGCAGGTAGACACTGGTACAGATGCATGTCTTTAAGAAAATAAAATATGGAGAGAAAACCCATCGAGGGTGGTTCCCTTTAGGGAGCAAGACTGGGGTTGAGGGGCGAAGGGCCAGGAAAGACGCCTCTCTTCGTACCTCCTCGGATGCTGTGCCGCCGACGACGTGTGTTTAAGGAACAGCAGCAGGCACGCGCCCAGAGCCTTAGAAATGCCATTTACCCCTGACTGGTGCGGACCTCACAACAGCCTCCCGAGCCGGGCCCCGCCCTCGTGCCCACCTTTCAGGTCAGGCCCTGGGGCACAGGTGGGGCTGTTTGTGCAGCTGGAGCTGCAGAGCTGTCTCCCTAAGGGACAGATTCCAGCCCTGTGGATGCCTCTTCATGCTTTCATACAGAAAACCAATCATAAATGCAGTCGGTTCTCAGATACCTGGGCCAGCCCTGGCCCTAGGGCTCCCTGCCCTGCCTGCCCACGGGCTCAGGGAGAAGGGGAGCTCCCTGCCCCCACCACCGCGGGCAACCCCAGGTTCTTGCGAAGGCTAATTCTAGACAAGGCCCCGCTGGCCCCAGCTCAGGGCTGGAGGGTGGGCACCGGCTGGAAGTTAGGAGGGCGGAGGGGTTCAGGGAAGCGCCCCAGGGTGAGACCCCGGCCAGGCAGCCCCCACCTCAAGCCACAAGAAGCCTTTCCAGAGAGAGAGCGAGAGAGCACTCTAGAAAGAAATCACTGCCCCAGTGGATAAGTGGCTTTGGAAGTCCATTAAGGTGGATGCGACGGCTCCTCTGCGGCAGCCGGGGCAGGAACACGCGTCCTCAGGGGCCGGATGGTATTGAACTGGCGTGGCTGCCCCTCGCCTCCGCCCGTGTGTGCACACAGCTCATCCGTTTCTCGGGGCCGACGAGGACGCGAGAACGTATTTGAAGAGCGCACAGGCTCCGTGAGTAAAGACGGCCACCGGGGAGGGACATGCAGCCGGGAAGTCCCGGCATCGGCTCCGAAATGCCTCGGCTTCTGAGGTTTGTGCAGAGTTTATGCAGATGAGCAGCTGCCAGCTGCCAGCGATTTTACTACAGCAAATTAAGAAAACTGTCGCCAATTGAAACTAGAGCGGGACAGGGAGCAATTAAAGAAGGAGAGAGTAATTAAATCAAAT